AGTTGATCTGTAAAAAACCATGTTTCAGAAAACTTGCTTAAAATGATGACCTAAAAGCTATTCAACAATGATCCTTACAACCATTATCTTTTCAGGATCATGAACATCGAGGATTTTAAATCCGATGATGGTCGTACGTCACCACTTATCCGTTTTTAAATCAATTTTACTTCCTTAGTTGTTTTCGATTAATTATGTTTCTCTATTTGTTTCTTTATTTTGATTAAGCACTTCTTTTTCAATAGATTAAAAGCCGTAACTGAAATGTTCCTCATTTTTAAATTATTTTTCCCCAAATCGGATTTTCTGATATTATTACAAAATGGTCCCCTTAAGTTTGGACCTTTTGCTTCTTTGTCACTTAACTTTCTGGAAATTACACTTTAACCCTTATTGACATAAATTCTTAATATTTTCTAGCCAAGTGAATATCAAATCTTTTATTCACTTATCATTTTCATTATATCGTAGGATTGATCCTTTAGAACTCCAGTCTCCTACACTTTTGGTTGAATAAAATAAAAAATTGTTTTTATTATATCAATTTTCTTTTTTTATTTTGATTAAGCACTTATTTTTCTGTAGATTAAAAACCGTAACTGAACTTAATTAATTGAAACGATTGAATTTTATCTGGTAACAAAATTTAAGAGAGTCGATATGTAAAAAAAACAATAATACATAAAACTTGCTTAAAAATGATGACTTGTAAGGTGATTCAGTAATGATCCTTCTGGCCATTATCTTTTTGGGATCAATGAACATCAGCGATGTGACTGCTTATTCATCTATAAATTAGTATTATTCATATTTTTTTGCATTAGTTGTTTCCGATTAATTATGTTTCTCTATTCGTTTCTTTATTTTGATTAAGCACTTATTTTTCTGTAGATTAAAAACCGTAATTGAACTCTGTTGGTCGAAATGATTGAACTTTATTTGGTGAGGAGAATCTAAGACAGTCGGTCTATAAAAAAAACAATGTTTCAAAAAACTTGCTTTAAAAAAGGATTTGTAAGGTGATTTAATGATGGTCAGTATGACAATTACCTTTTTGGGATCAATGAACATCAGCGATTTTAAAACCGATGATCGTAACAGCGGCGTGACTGCTTATTCATTTATGAATAAATATTATTCAAATTTTACTTCATTAGTTGTTTTCGATTAATTATGTTTCTTTATTTTGATTAAGAACTTGTTTTCATTTAGATCAAAAACCATAACTGAACTCTGTTGGTCAAAACAATTAAACTTTATCTGATGAGAAAATCTAAGAGTTGATCTGTAAAAAACCATGTTTCAGAAAACTTGCTTAAAATGATGACCTAAAAGCTATTCAACAATGATCCTTACAACCATTATCTTTTCAGAATCATGAACATCGAGGATTTTAAATCTGATGATGATCGTACGTCACCACTTATCCGTTTTTAAATCAATTTTACTTCCTTAGTTGTTTTCGATTAATTATGTTTATCTATTTGTTTCCTTATTTTGATTTTGCACTTCTTTTTCTATAGATTAAAAACCGTAACTGAAATCTGTAGGGTCGAAACGATTGAACTTTATATGGTGAAATTTTTTAAAAAATTTGTCTGTAAAAAACCATGTTTCAAAAAACTTTATTAAAATTGATGATCCAGAAGTTGATTCAATGATGATTCCTCCGACTAATT